GTGGGAGGGACTGCTAACGGGAACAGTTACCTCCATTGGGGCATGAAAACGTTGTGGAAGTGCAGCGGTGATAGGTGCGTAACTGTGACTATACTAAAGACCATTGGATTGTACATTTAAATGGGTGAATCAATGCCACATATGCAAATGTACTAATAAAGATGTTGCCTGGCCAGCGTGGCTCAGTGGTTGAGCATCGGCCTGTGATCCAGGAGATCACGGTTCGATTCCCTGTCAGGGCACAAGCCCAGGTTGCAGGCTCGATCCCCAATGGGGGGTGTGCAGGAGGCAGCCGATCAGTGACTCTCACATCGTTGATGTTTCTATCNTTGATGTTTCTCTCTCCCTCTCCCTTCCTCTCTGTGAAATCAATAAAGACATTTAAAAATAATAATAAAGGTGTTGTTTTCAAAAAAAAAAGAAGAGATTTCTGACCTGGAGGAGCAGGCAGATCACAGCTGATGGGACTATGGGGACCAGAGCTGCAGGAAAGGCGTCGGCACTGGCCTGGCCTCACCCCAAGGAGACAGTGGATATGGGCACAGGGGTAGATGCCACTGCAGTGACTGGCGTTGCTTGGTGTCCCAGCATGTGACCCATGGGCCACTTGCTGAGTAAGGTACAGACAGCGTGTGGTCGCGTGAGCTGAGTGCTCGGAGTGCAGTGGGGCCACGTGGTGCAAACAACTAGTCAGCGAGGCCACAGAGAGAGAGCCTGAGAAGCCCAGTGCTGGACAAGCCCACTCACAAATGGGGACGGGCCTGCTGAGGTCACACCTGGATCCCGCAGCAAGAATTTCCTGCTGGCCTTGAGGAGGCTTGCTGAAGGTGAATGTGGCAAAAAAACAAAGTACCCCCAGTTCTTTAAAAGAATAAAGTTAATGCTCGGCCGGGCGTGGCTCAGCGGTTGAGTGTGGACCTAGGATCCAGGCGATCGGGGTTCGATTCCCGGTCAGGGCACATGCCCGGTTGCGGGCTTGATCGGTGACTCTCTCATCATTGATGTTTCTGTCTCTCTCTCTCCCTCTCCTTTCCTCTCTCTGAAATCAATAAAGATATATTTAAAAAAAAAAAAAAAAA